GCCCCGGGGAGTATTTCGGGATGCCTCGGGAGTCGAGATGCCCTAATGATCGGGATGCCCTGGGTGTGTGTCGGGATGCCTCGAAGTTGAGATGCCCCGATGGTCGAGAAACCCCGGGAGTGTTCGGGAGGATGAAGTAATGAACCTAATCGCATGAGCATGAATGTTTTACATTATATGCTTGTGTCTGAGAGAAAGTATTGTCAAATGTTACATTGCTCAAACTTTGTGGCACATCCAAACGGAAAAAGTATAACATGCATTCGAGTTCTATGTATACCGTTCGTTATGCATGTACGTTGTTTATGCTAGGTGAAGTGGTAAGCTGATTTTCCTAACTTAAAACTAGAGATTTCATTTACTAGGCATCCGCTCATCCTATTATTTTTCAGACACATAGGATGGATGATGTTCCACAGCTTCTGCGTCTTGGAGTTCCTGTATATCACGAAGCTATTTTTTTTTTTTTTTGCTAGAATATCACGAAGCTATTTATGATAAAGGGCTTGTGTATGAGTTTGAAGAACTCGTTGTAAAGACTACTTTCGTACGGGCAGTCTTTTGGAGTAGATTGTAGCATGGAGGTAGGCAACCTTGACCTACCCAGACTTTTATTTTGTGTTTATGTGATGGTTGTATGGGCTTGTAAATTTGATAAGTGGTGAATATAAGAAGCAAAAGTATTTTGACTAAACTTGTGTGTAATTCATGTTTAAGGCATGTTCAAATTTTGACTTCCGTTGGCCTAATTATTAATAATATTAATGGACACATGTCGCGCGTGACGTTCTGGGGCGTCACAACCTAGCCCCTTTATTTTCTTTCCTTTTATTACCCCTGGGCCCACAAGCTTTTCTCTACAGCTTCAAGGAGTCAAAGGATTAACTCCTTTTGTTGACCACCCAATTACAAGAAAATATTGGGTGGTCTCGGACCGCCAAGTCAGCGTGGTCCCTGACCACTCATGAGGCGCCACGTGGTCCACGTGGTGCGAGTGGGGCAGGCTGGTCAGGAAGCGTTTTTTGCACAAAAAATTAATATTTTTTTCCCCTTAGCCCTGCACGCCTCCCCTGCATGCTGAAAACCTACCCCACTTTCGAGTCTCTCCCCTCTCTCTCTTCATTAATGGCGGCCTCCTCCTTCTCTCTCCTTCTCTATCCTTCTTAGCGCTCCGCCTCTGCCTCCGCCTCCGCCTGCCCAAGAGCAACCAGCCGGTGGTGCAGGGCATTATCCGGAATGGGATGAAGATCGCCCAATCCATTTTGTGGGGCATTCGGCGGGAGCGCAGGTCGTTCGGGTTTTGCAACAGATGCTAGCTGATAATGTACTTTTGATCTTCCTCATTAGCGAGCATACTCTAGTACATGGAAGGACAGTCATTGACAACATTTTCAAATGACTGGGGTTGATGATTTTAGGCATTCAAGGGGTATGAGAATACTTCTGAGAGCTGGGTGTTGAGTATCACATCCTTATCAGGGGCATTCAATGGGACCACAAGAACCTACTTAGATGGAATGCGGTGAGTTTGGGTTTGGCCTGTTATCTTGGCTTTCAAATCTCATTCACGGGTCACCACTGCAAGTTTGATTTCTTAGTGTGATTTCTATAAGCTCAACTGGCTTGGGTAGATTTCTAGCGGTGCTTCTAATCTGGCGGGAAAGTTGTCTTTTTTTTCCTTTTTCCGTTGCTGAAGTGCTGAAATGAGCTTTAATAATTCAGGCCGGAGGATGGAAAGACAATGAAGGCAGTATGTCTACTTCAGCTTTGCCGTCTCGGAGTGATAGTATACGATTGGCTCGACATCCCGTGGTTGAACGCCTATTACAATTTTGGTTTTGATCATTTTGGCATTTCTTGGAAGAAAGTAGGGATTTGGGGTCTTTTGGATTGCATATTGGGAAATACAGGCCCCTTTGCCTCTGGCGATTGGATTCTCCCGGACCTCACGATTCAAGGGTCAATACGATTGAACAGCCATCTGCATTCTTTCCCCAATACATTTTATTTCAGCTTACGCCACCAAGAGTACTCGAAAGATCCTCGGCATCACAGCTTCCTTCAAGCATGCTTGGGATCCACCCGCTGTTTTTCATAAGGGTAGATGAGTCAATGGCGGCATCCTCCGATGTTCCTCCTCCTTACAAAGGCTACAGTGAAAATCTTACGGTATATGTTTCACTATTAGTACATTTACGTAAACTTAAGGGGAGCTTCCTTCGATAATGTTAAAAGTTCATTCCGACAAAGATTCTATCGCCTCATCAACTTCATTTACTAATTTCTGCATTCTAGGAATTCTGTGAGTTTTTATGCACTGCATATATAAGATTTTTATTCTGTATTCAGTTAATACTGAGAATAATCCGTGAGAGGAACCCAAAAAATAGGACATGAATAAAAGGGAAAGAAATATAATTCATCTCATAGTTTTAAAAAATACTTTCACAGGGATGATGTAACGACCCGGTCCGACGAGGGCGGGGAGTGGTCGCCTGGGCCAAAAAGGGCCTGGATAAGGAACGGCTTCCGGCAGGCTTCTAGGATGGCAAGGGGGGCATGTCTCCTGTCCCACATCGCCTAGGGAGGGAGCTTTGGGCTTGCTTATAAAGGCTTGGGAAACCTTAACTTGTAAGAGGCCTTTTCTAAGGGTAGTATGGGCTGCCCTCGGAGGAATAAAACCGTGAGGACTTAGTGTCCAAAGCGGATAATATCTTGCGAGTGGGACCGGGTCGTTACAGGTGGTATCAGAGTCGACTCCCGACCGCGTGTGGGGCCACAGCACCAAAAGGGCCTGGACAAGGAGCGGCTTTCGGCAAGCTTCTAGGATGGCAAGGGGGGCATGTCTCCTGTCCCACATCACCTAGGGAAGGAGTTACAGGTGGTATCAGAGCCGACTCCCGACCGCGTGTGGGGCCACAACGAGTTACAGGTGGTATCAGAGCCGACTCCCGACCGCATGTGAGGCCACAACAAGGACGCTGTGCTCGAAGGAGGGGAGAATGTAACAACCCAGTCCGACGAGGGCGGGGAGTGGTCGCCGGGGCCAAAAGGGCCTGGACAAGGAGCGGCTTTCGGCAGGCTTCTAGGATGGCAAGGGGGGCATGTCTCCTGTCCCACATCGCCTAGGGAAGGAGCCTTGGGCTTGCTTATAAAGGCTTGGGAAACCTTAACTTATAAAGGCTTGAGAAACCTTAACTTGCAAGAGGCCTTTTCTGAGGGTAGTATGGGCTGCCCTCGGAAGAACAAAACAGTGAGGACTTAGTGTCCAAAGCGGACAATATCTTGCGAGTGGGACCCAGGTCGTTACAGATGAAGATTGGCAGGATAATGATGGAGCGCTTAACACTATATCCATGACTCACCCACACCTCCTGATCGAACATCCTAGTCATTACGTCATATCGGACTCCGATTGCTAACCCCTGGAACCAGGCATATGGTTAGTACTTATTCCTTTTCTCCGTTATTGCTCATTCTATGCTAAAGCCCGAGTGATTAAGCTTTATCTTATAATGATCAACTTTGGAGAAATGCCTTTCCACCTAAATATGAACCAAAAGATTTGAGGTCTTTTCAGTCGCTATCACTTCGAATTTGTATCAAACTCTAACAGCATGAAGCAGTTACTTTAAAAGAAATGGTCAAATTTGTTAGCTCATGCAAAGTTTATCCGTTCATCCAAAGATTTGAGGTCAACACTTGATATATTTCACCATGATCATCCTCCCTATGAAGAACAGTATGTTGCATTATTAGACGGCATAAACGATAATCACTTAAGGTTAGTGATTGATCCAGATGGGTCAGATAGAGCATCATCTGTTCTGGCCTTCCTTGAGGCCTATGATTCAATCCACAAACAGCATACTTTGGTGTAGTTTCAATCCACAAACATTTTGAATCAGAAGGTGCCCATCGACTTAATTAGTGGTGGAATCAGATCTTGCGGTTGAAAATGATAAGTTTGAATGCCCCGGCGGTGAAGAAGTTTGACGTATTAAGAGAATTCTATTCAATTACCCACTTCCTTTTGACGGAAACCGCTGAATTGTTTTTTTCTCCTGCTAGTCGTTGTCCTGGCAAGTTCTTGCTAACATAAAATGAGACAGTTTGGCTTTACACGGTTGCGAATTGGTGGATTGCAGGTATTACAAGACCGAGGAAGCTGATCGCATACTGTTCATTGTGAACCGTGAGAGAGCGGGAGTTCAGTTTGATCTCATATATGATAGCATCTTCCAACGTTGCCGGAAGCATGTATTTAGGAAATCTCTGCCGACATTGCCGAATAACATAGTTACTGACGATGAGTAGAAGAGGACACTGGAGAGGAAGCTTATGGTTGCCCGTATTTATAGCGTTTCTCCGACTCCATGTCGTTCTGTTGAGTCGATGCCGATTTTGGCACATCATTTTGATGAAAACAGAAGCTCTAGGAAGGCTTAGAATTAAGTTTGTGAAATTATTTGAAACAAGCAGATTTTCTGGCATCAAGTCTACAGAAATTCTTTCTGCATCTTTACAACCATTTACTCTCTCTCTCTCTCTCTCTCTCTCTCTCTCTCTCTCTCTCTCTCTCTCTCTCTCTCTCTCTCTAAGCTTACTGATTACTGTATCATCTGTGATATAAGACAAACTCGGGACATCTTGGGTAGCCACTAGATACCAAACTTATTCCATCATCTTCCTCTAAATCGAGCATGGCATCACCAAAGGCAGATGCTTAACAAAAATAGAAACAAATTCCAGCAGGAATCCACATACCATGATTGGTAAAGCATGGATAATGCCATGCTGGATTCTTCTGAGGACAATTCAGTGGCTAAGATCTTTCCAACCATATGTTCATTACAGCACTCAAAGACAGGCTGCAACCAAAGTCACCAAGTCTGAATACTAAACAGATCCACAATATGAAACTGAAGAACCAGATTGTGGGATTATACTGAAGACAAAGATCAAAGTGTATTTTGCAGACCTACTCCACAGAGTTAATATGAATTGAAGATCTCGACAGCACATTCATTCACATTATCAAAATGGTAAATCTATCAAAAGTATGTGAGTACTACATATTTGGGGAACCACCAACAATTAAGCCCAACCAAAAGAATAATTATACAGCGTCGAAAAACAAGAAAACAGATATTATCCGCATCAAACCACTCTTCAAAAAGCCTGCATTTTCTGAAGCTTCTGTCATTGTCCATCAGTCTTGGCATGTCTGGTAAATCTACCTCAAATAAGCCTCAGTTCATACTCGCCTGCCATTGTAATGTATCTCACCCAAGGAAGAGCCTGGTAGCCGGTCTTCTCAATAATCTTCAGGTACCGCACCTAAAACAGCATCAAGGATCAGAAATAAAACGGAATGAATATTCTGCTTTGCTTGTTGAAATAAAGGCTTCACCGCAGAATATGTCCAGCAATCTAAGAAACTAATAGTATATAAAATAATTTTGAACAATGTAATGCTTGGATATTTTGGCATTCAAAGATCTGTACGTCTTCTCATGGCAAACCTTCTGATTCTTACTAAAATAGTCGTGAAGAGACTTCATCTAGGATTTGATATGTCCATGCCAACCATTTTTTACTAATAAATCTTACCCTTCTTCTTACATCATTCTTTCTCCAACAGTTAAGTCAAACCAGACCAATACCATCCTGTCTTTCATGAAGAAACAGATAGCCAACAAGCGTTTCTGAGGCAATATGCTACCTTGTTCCATCCGCACTATAAGCCATCATGGTGCACCATCGACCGGGAGCACCACCATAGTCCACTCTAGATCCCAGGCAATCATACAGCCAAGCTTTTATCTTACCATCAATGTCGGTGGAGAAAATAAACTGCAATAATGAAAAAGTGAGTTATATAGTCGACTCTGGGAAACTGCTATCAAAATAAAATTACCAGCTGCACATCTAATTTGGAAAAACTGGTAATACAGTCTGCTTGAAATGATAAGAGTATAAGCCAAGAAAGTAGAAAGCGGCAAACTGCTCTCAAAGTAGATGAACCTGAATATTTTCCTTGTAATGTGGGCAGACTGAATACACTGGAGCTTCATTGGAGCAGGGGTGGCCTTAACGTGCTTCGTCGGCGACGGCGGGGGAACAGCCACTTGACGAACGCCGGAGCATCGAGCGAGCGAGCGTCGGATCGCGAGAGAGGGAGACCTTTCCTTTGCTGGAGCAGGGGTGGCCTTAATGTGCTTCGTCGGCGAGGGCGGAGGAACGACCGCTTGATGAACGCCGGAGCTGAGAGCGAAGACGAGGGAGGCCTTTGCTTCGTCGGAGCAGGGGGTGGCCTTAATGTGCTTCGTCGGCGACGGCGGGGGACGGCCGCTTGACGAACGCTGGAGCAGCAAGGAACGGCGGACCAGCGAAATCTCAGCATGAAAAATTCAAAATTTGTGTGCAGGGCAGAGAGAGGGGGAGAAAGATGAATCTGGGACTGGGATCATAAACCTACAAGCAACACATCAACCTTCAGTCAATTTCATGCCTTATATTCATGTAACTGCCAAACTTCATTGTGCTCTGATTTTCCTAATGACACAGATTTCTCAGGTTTAGGATGTCACTAGATTCTGACCATCTTAGAAAAACAAGAAAATTTTCAGTTTCACCTGTCACCAAAATGTTCTTAAGACCTTCTTCTAAGCCCCTCTGCTTCTCTCAAATTCATTAAAAAAAGTTATAAAAAAAAAACCAAGGATGACACCCAGAAAAGAAATGTTTCCTTATATAACCGAAAGAAAAATTTTAATATCATATGCTGGGCATTGTGCTTTACAAAGCTTTGTTCGAGGCCCTGAAGAATATTACTCCCAATATGTGATTTGTATCATGTAATTGGGAGGAAAGGCAATTCCAGTTGACAATCAGTAGTAATAAACGGATTTAGCAACCATTAATCATCTGCTCAGGCCTGCTAAGCCAACATATTTTTGAAACATTATCTAATAAAAGTTTGCAAGTTCACTCATAGCGTAATTCCATAAATTTGGTATTTTGGATTAGTATTTTCGTCCACAAAGGCAACTATGTTAATGCATACAACTCGAATTGAAAGAAAACAAATGTCTAATCCACACCAAAGGATTGTCAACATGAACCAAGCAATTAAATGCCAATAGTGTCTGCTATTGCAAGGGATGAAGTATGCGAATAGCTTTTCAATTGACAACTTCATTAGCCATTTTGGTCTTTTAACAGTGGCAAACATTAGATTGTAAAAAAGTACAAGGGCAGGAAACTTAGAATTGTCGACGCTTGTTCCGTATTGCTCCAGATCCAACACCAAGTCATGCAATATTGCAGCATATGACTACCGATCAACGAAAGTTTGCAATGATTTACAGGCACTAAAATTGATTTTTTGAACAAAAAAAAATCAATCACAATTCATAAGCAGAAGAGCCAACACATGAAACCATAGAACTGTGATTGATGAGAAAATTATGCAAGGACATGTATATTTGGTGCAAGGCCGCGCAATTCTCCACCAATTTATTCAGAGCCACACTATATCATTTGCCGCCAGACTGCGAACATTCTACGCATACAAAAACCAAGGCACCCTAGTAGTAACCTAGTGACTATACTTAACTGGGGAATATCATCAAACAGATAGGGGTCCATCGAACGAGCTTCTGAATTAACTTTTTGTAGCAATTCCTAGCCCCCAGAACAAATACAATCTCTATAGTGCATCAAAATAATTACGAAAACACGCATTTTGGACACATCAATAACAACAGTATAGAAGCAATGGACTTGGAATGCTTACATCATCCCAAACTGAGGCTATCTCCTCGGCCGAACGGACCTTCACTCTCCCTACGTCCATGATCGAATCCAACGGCTTGGGCTCCAGCGGCGCGAACCCGGTGGCGAATCTCGACGTTCTGCAGGAACCGAGCGCAGCCCATCTCAAGAAATCGCCCGGGATCGCTCGCTGCTGCGTCTTTTGGAGGTTCGATCGCGTTTGCAGAGTCGACACAGCGAAGCAGCATCTGGGCACGAAAGAAGAAGGGGAAGCAGCAGGAGATGTTGGTGACGGCGGCGCATGACGGAGGAGCTTCAGCGAAGAACTGATGCGTTGCGAAGCTCGCGACGACAAAAGCTGCATTGCGAAATGCTCGAGTTGCTCTTGGGCGGGCGGAGGCGGAGGCGACGGCGGAGGTCGTGACCGGCGGGCGGGCGGGTTTCTTGGACCGGCGGGCGGAACAGCGAGTGACGGGAACGAGGAAGAGGACGCCGAAGTTACGAAAAATCTGCATTGCAAATCAAACAACAGGACCCCACCCGCACCACGTGGACCACGTGGTGCCTCGTGAGTGGTCAGAGACCACGCTGACTTGGCAATCCGGGACCACATAATATTTTCTCGCCCAACTACAGGACAAAGATGTCCACTATACATCCGAGAGATGATCTTTTGTGGGCAATAATAAATCTTGAATATTATCTCCAAGATACAGATCTTCACGACCAAATACGAAAACTTATCCAAGCGAGAGTCATGTTCCTTAAACGTTTCAACCTCGAGTCATAATTTAACAGATCCAACTGAAGTGTATCGGGATCTTCTATCACGCCCCGAACCCTATGAGCGCGCAACATCCCTCCGAGGTCGTTATGAATGCGACGTCCTAAGACGCATCGCCGACCCAATCGATTTACTAACGAGATTACACATGCGGAAGCGAACTTAAATTCTCCATACAACATTCAATTAAATGAGATAGTAGGGAGACAATTGAAACACAATAACAAACCACTTTATATACATAGCATTAATTACAAAAGATACATATACAAACATTAGCAAAGGCAACCACACATAACAAAAAGGATCGGTGGTTGGTTAACTTAACTCCTCTACCAAGATGGCACTCAAAAAGAGATGGAACTACATCTAGTCTCAATCCCCGCCGTCCTCTGACGGTGTCCCCGGATCAGTCATCTCCCCCTTCTCCTTGGGATCCAACTCAAAGGGCTCCAACTTCGGTTCTGACTTAACAGGCTCAGGCTCAGGGTCAGACTCCATAGGTTCCGACTCGGGGTCTAGGTCTTCAGGGCCAGTGTCCGGGCTAGTAACGACTCTGTCAGGGGGAACGATCTCCATGGGGTCCCACTCCCCTACTCCATCATAAAGAACATCAAATTCGCCAAAAGTCTCATCCCTGTCCCGGAAGCACCATGCCAAATAGGTGTGGGGTTACTAAAATGTCCCGCCCTTATCCACCAAAACTATGCTAGTATGCCTAATATACACTTGATCCTCTCCTACTGGGTACTCTGTTACCATGTGCTCCGTATTCATAGGTATTCCAAAACGTTGCGGAGGGTCATTCATGATCAAGGTCGAGGGCCTGAAATGTTTGAATTGCAACAATGAGAATAAATCTCAATAAGTAAACTACCTAAACCTCGACTAGGATAACACGTACTTCCGGACAATCCTAACATGCAGTTCTAACTATCTAGCAAGGTTCCATCGAGCACTCAACGTCCATACTATACCACACATGTTCTCAAAGCACATACAACTCATGGCATTACATAAACATGCATAACAACAGTTAATAACCCAGACATGCTCAACATCTATTCGATCACATAGCATTCACCAATGCATAATACACTCGAAGTTGCCTAGATTATTAACGGCCCATCGGGCCACCGAACTCCCGCCGGTCTTTTGGCATAGCCAGGCATCGTCCCGCTACTTCGGCGACGGCAACATCGGAAATCGAACAACCCCTGGCAAGCCGAATACCCGACGTTATTTCAATTAGGAGCATCGATCCGGCATCCATCGCGATCGGCAACGTCTAGAACCCCCGCCTAGACGACATCCGAACTCCCACCAGGCATCGTCTAGAACTCCCACCTAGACGGAACTTGTCATGGCCATGCACGCAGACAATCACTCATTGCCAATTTTCATCTTTCTTAATTAGCCAATGCAGAGTGTTTATGACATGCATTTTCCTACGAACGAATATGTCATGAATCGCACTCATTTCCATATCAAACATCATTATTTGATCACAATCAGCCATGCTTAGCCAAAATTAGCCATAATTAACCACACGATCCATTTTCAAGCCACCCGATCAACATTTAGACCACATGATTAATCATCAAGTATAAGATCCACCATTAATCATCATTTTCGGCCACATGATCATCATCACAATCACACGATCAAGCCTTAGTCACATAATCAGCCATGATTAAACTAATTAACCACATGATGATCAATCACAACCACACGATCAACATTAGACAATTAATCAGCCATGATTAAACTAATTAACCACACGATTATCAATCACAACCACACGATCAAATCAAACCTTCAATCAGCCACATGATCAAACATTAGCACATGATCATCTAACTTAAACCACATGATTAACATTAGCACATAATTAACCAATCTAAGCCACATGATTAACATTAGCACATAATGAACTAATCTAAGCCACATGATTATCATCTGACTCATCAAAATCAGCCATTACCACATGATTATCATCACCACACGATCAGCCTCTTGATTAAACCCAATCAGCCATTAAACTATCACAATTAGCCAAATCAAGCCAAATTAGCAATATTAAAACTCTTGATCAGCCTAGGGCCACACGATTAGCCTCTTTAAACCTCAAGATCAGCCCTTTGATCAACATGCTCAGCCACTAAATTAGTCCACTAATCAACCTATAGTCAGCCACTAATTTACTACTAAACAGCCCCTAAATCATATCCATTAGTAACCTATCAACCTAATCAAGGTTTAGGAAGTTACTTACCACTAAACCTAAGCCAAAGACCAAACTAAACCAACTGCAATAGCCTCCGGTCGATGCAACAACTCCGGCGAACGGCGGCGGCGAAACGGCGAACCGGCGAGTGGTGGCTGGTTTCGGCATGAACGACGGTTAAGGGCGGTGGTTTCACGGTGAGATGGTGGTGGTGGTCACGGCCAAGGTGAGAGAGAGGGAGTGAAAGAGAGAGAAAGTGAGCTGATCACAAAATGGAAGAGAGAGAGAAGAGAGAGAAAATGGCTGATATATCTCATCTAAATGGAAGGTTGAGATCAGCCCTTGGTCTCCAAGCAAGATCCAATGGCTAGGGTTCAATCTTGACAAAGCTTCTAGAAAGGGCAAACAAGCAAATAACCAAAAAGCAAGGGGCAATCAGGTCCAAAGGCATTCGGCCACACTAGGGGGAACAGGGACCAACATGCCCTTCCACTCAACAAAGAAGTCCTAGAACACTAAGGGGTAAAAGGGTCTTTTGCAATTTCCAAGCCGAATCTCACTTTTCCAAGCATTTCCAAACAAACCGATAACTAAGCAAGCTTAACGAGGCGATGTCCATTAAATTAGTCTTGATATCCTTGAAAGTTCAACACCCAAGTTCGAATTCCATTTCATGGTCAAATTCAATCAAACGCTACTTTAGTGTATCTCAAACTAACGGGCGGTTTTTAGGAGTTACGCGTATCGACCCGTGGCTGATTCGATATCGAGCCACGTTTAAGCTTACTCAAGCCATGGCGATTTTGGTTGTCATGTAATTGAGAGGGTCAATCGCTAGTTCCGAAGGACACGATCGTTCGGAATTGGTTTAAGGACGTTCATAATCCATATAATGGTCAAATGGAATCACCCGCGATCCAATTGTATAACATTAGCGAATCGTTCCATAACCCTCCTTAGATCGGCCTATAATGGCCCAAAATATTCCCTCGTGAATTGTTATGGTCGAAGTATCAATCCATGGTTAAGTTCTTAGGTCCACATACTTAATTCCTAGCTAGCCTTTCCCTAACGGTTAGTCTACTCGAGAGTGATCAATTCCGAGTGAGATTTAACTAAAGTGCATCAATGAATTACTCATTTCATAAATCCCAAAAATGGGTTGAACTTCAGGATGTCACATCTGCCGGTTCGAGGCCGGTCCGATCCAGTTCCGGTCGGTCCGAGCATCCCTAAACCCAACCCATCCATGGATCCCAAGCATCGACCTTGATATCCCCATGCCCAGAAACGAAACCACACTCGTCGACGGTCAAAGCTAAGTGGCTCCAATGTAGGAGTGAGCATGGTCCAGATGGGCAGTTCCCATCATGGAATTAGGAACCACCCACTAAGGACCGGTTCGAAAGATTGGAACCGCATGTTGTTCCATAGACCGCGGGTCTAATTCCCGGGTAGATTCATGGAATCGGTCCCACCAAATTTCAAGCAAATGGAGGTGATTGAGAGTGATAGAGGGAAGTGATGAACAGCTGAGTTGATGAGAGTTGAGGCCGTGAGTCGATGGGCGTTGAGTGAGATTCTGAGTGGGAAATAGAAAGACGACTCAAACAAAATAAGAGTGAAACAAGACGAGCACTGGGCGTTGAGCTTCAGATTATGGATTTTAGGGTTTTCATCTTTCTTAAAATGTTTTGTTTTGTTGGAAATTTTTCTTTAAAATTATATATATTATCTAGGGGTGAGCGGTTCCCGGTCCGGTCCGGTCCGGTCTAACCTAAGAACCAGGAATCGAACTGGGAGGACTGGTTCCCAGTTTCTAGGACCGGGGATCGGACCGGCTAGTCTTGGGATCGTGGACCAAATCGGACGGTCCGGTTCCAATGGGACCAATCACTTATTGGTAAAGGCAAGAGGGAATTGGGAAATAGATTAGGCTTTCTATTTTTTTCAAAAATTTTAAAAAGTAAATAAATATATATACGAAAAAATTAGAAAAATATATATATTTATCGGTGCGGTCTGGTCGATTCGATCGGTCCAGTTCCCACCCTAGAACCGGGAACCGGACTGCTCGGAAACCGGTTTACTTTTAGGAACCGAGAACTAGACCGATATTCCCGAAAATCGGACCAGACCGGTCTGGTCCCGGTTTGGGCGGTCCATCTTGCTCACCCCTAATATTATCGATCCGGTCAGCGTGGGCGATTCCACGCCTAGAATCAGGAGCTGATCGATACTCACCGATTCTAGTAAATTGAAATCGGGAACTACCGATTCTAGGCTAGTCCTGTCCAGTCCAATTCTTGGCGGTTCCCAATTCCTTTGCACACCCCTACTCCTACGGCTTGCCAAAAGTCAATTTTCGCAAGTCGAGTACCCAAATTTTCAAAGTCATGCGTGTTAAACAATCGAAAGTAGAATCTCGCTTTACTTCCTACGGAAAAGTTTTTTGATTTGATATCGTCCGACTAGAGAAATGGGCGGACATAAATTTAATTCTCTTTCTTGCCGTTTTAATCCACGGGGATATCTTTATAGACAAAGCTAATATCACATCGGAGAAGCACCTATTGACGGAGGCGACACGAACATAACGTACGCAAGTTTTATAGCATCGTTAATAAAGATATACGTAGTGTTTTTCCTATGACACAGCTAGGCACAACGATAAAATCCAATTACAACACCCGAACACGAGCTTAAGTTTTAAGCTTTCAAATACCTAACAATAAAAAACATAAGGTTATCAAAGTAAACATATTATTTCATGAATAACATTCATGTGTCAAGAATATATCAAATGATACACAATTAGCCGGGTAGGTTTCAAGTTCTTTCAGGTTTGAAACACGCATAAATTTTCCAAGATCAATTTGGGCTTTGGTGTTTGCGATCTCCTCTTTGGTATCACCCTTTTCATCTGAACAAGAAAAGATGCGAAAACAGATGATGATGCATATGTGCAAACAAATATTAGATGGCCAAAACAGAAATTCACGCGAACAAAATTGAGCCGATCCCGATAGTAATAGACATTAAACACCACAGCACAATCACTTGGAGGTGATTGTGCATTATCTTTTTGGCAGCTTGATCTGATCTCACAGCAGCAACAACAGCAGAATCCCCACTATCTTGATGCCGAAGAGGCTCGAGTCGTGCTCGGGTCATGGCGGCGCGGGCGAGGCCAAGCTGTAAAGAACGAGAAACACGATGTGAACAAGCACCGAGCTAATCGAGCGGAGCACGAGGAAGCGAGCGATTTTAACGGTAAGCAAACTTACCCCGGCGTGGAATAGACACATTTTCCGTAACCTGCGAAACAGCGGAAAGTTCATGTTTTAGTACTTCCAATGTAGTGTGACTCGATACATTAGCTCGTGTTTTGCAGATCAAAGATCAGATTCCAAAATCTTAGCCCCCGTTTCCATGCTGGAACATCCATGCTGCGTTCGGCAGGAGGAGACCCTTAGAAGAAGTGAATATCCAAGGATCAACACCACACAGAATAATATGTGTGATCAACTAGGAAACAATGGCTGTTTAAACTAATGATACCAGATCTAGCTTATGATTAGAAGCTATCATATGGCTGATCAAAAGAGGAAACAGTATGCGACCGTCGATATATAAATATCCAGGAGATCGAGGAAATAAAAAGTTCAATACAGGATTTGCTCAAGTCATATTCAATTAATTATGCAAGAAAGATAGAAGTAACAACCTGATCTCTTCGGAGTAAATACTAATAATGTCACCGGAAAATAGCTCATACTTGTAACGGCAGGTGGCACAGGAAACAATCTGCGGCAGCAGGTTTCGAATAAGATGTTATCACAATAAAATGTTTGATGAGTACTTGACATAAGTATGCGAATGAGCTATCATAAAGCTGAAGAGCAAATAGAACTAGACTCTCGAGATCAAAATGCTCATAAGCAGAGTTAGTTATTAGACTCAATCAGGGCACAGAATTCTATGAACCCATAAACAATCCTCTTACAAGTAAAATTGCATCCACCTCTTGGTCATTCATCGACAATACAAAGAAGAAAACTCAGGGAGGATGACCGAGTCGACCCTACTAACAAAAGAGCAACACGAACTCGACAGGAAAATGGACAAGGATTCATATCCATAAAAAGCACCATACATCGATATTTTGAACTTTGGAAAGGAGAAGGTATCACAGCTTACTTTAATCCTAACCATGACTCTGCACTATTTATGCAGCGCTAGAGAAAGTTGTGAAAGAACTCAAACTATGTGGCAAAAGGCAAGTATACTTTTATTGCGTAAATCACAATGATCATCCGATTCTAAATCCCGGCAGCACATCTACGGTGGAGTCCGCCTACCTTAACATCTAGGCACGCTTAGTAAGCAATACTTGGAACAAAGTATAGAACTTGAAGTTATCTTCGATAATGAAATGGCATAATCAAGACTAAGAATTGAACTTTGGTAGCATACTTGAATACCATCTTGCGGTTGTGCAACAGCGACAGCTACCATACAACTTGGACATCTCACAACCTTCCCGAAAGGGACCTGCTAGAAGCAAAAAAATTCCAGGTAGTGCGGGGTCGGTAGGAAAACTACCAACAATTATCCAAGTAACAGTTTTCTAAGGCAAATGCATGCATAATTGGCAGCCAAAACAGCTTTTAAATTTTAAGGCAAGAAACAGTAGGATTTTACCTCCACACCGGGAGAAACCCCTACTTGGCATATGATATCAATCACACTTAGAGCATCAGAAACCCTTAGTGATGCTGCAAGACCTGAACTAACAGTGTGTATAAGCGCACGTCAGGCCTGGACCATCTCCACCGGTCGACATAAATACCGTCTTCACCTGGACCTGGCCATCATCAAGATATCAACATTAGATTCAGACACACATTTCAAGTGATCCCCACCTCATTCCAGTTGAATTTCTAGACTTCCTCCTACGAACCAAGCATATTCATTGTCCCTCCCTACAAAAAATTATCTAAACGACATTTCTTCCCTCTTTAAGCCGTGGAACAGAAGAAAGCACCCACTAAGTAAGAGAGGAAGTTAAGGCAATAGTATCAACCGGCAATTGCAATAAAGCATTGAGCACTTCACACGTTGCGATTATTGATGAACACTCAGTTCAGAAATCAGAACCCCGAAACACCATGTACATGAAATAACAAGACACACCTTGATCGAAAGTTGCGCGCATGGCGTAGAACACGGACAGAGCCAACCTGGCATTGCCGCGCTCAAGCGCTGCGGCCATAATCGAGCAGCAATCCGACACACCGACCACGCCATGCCCTCCCGCCGGCCTTCTCCGCGATGATACGCAGCACCTCGTCAGCGTCCCCAGCGCCGGACGCTTCGCTGACCACCTCGTTGCTCAAAACCACCGAGGAGGAGGACGACGGCTCGCCGGCGACGCTGCTCTTGCTCTCGCTCAGCGAGGCCCTACACTCGAAGGAGGAGCACCGCGAGACAGCGGGGGGAGGAGCCGCCGAATCCCGGAGATGGCGCGGAGCCGGCGGGCAGTGGCTGCTGCCGCCGCTGCTGCAGAGGAGAATGGACAGCAGGGCGATGTTGGTGGTGCTCGGGGAGCAGCATCGGGAGAGGTGGAGGGAGGAGGAGTGAGGGCAGCGAGAGAGGCAGGGCGAGCCCGAGCACAAGCTCAAGGTCATTTCCAGACTTTCCGTCAGCGGCGATGACGAGAAGAGGAGGAAGAAGATGGCGGCGGCGACGGCGAGAATGGAGTGGCTTCGTTCCTTGAGATTTCAGAGAAAATGAGAAGACGAAGGCGATTTTGGGAGAGAGAAAGCTTCTGCTCGTGTTCGTGAGGCTTTTGTTTGTGTTTGTGACGTGAAGAGTGATGAGGAGAGAGAGAGCTCCTTCTCCGGAGGAGGGAGGGAGAGAGCAAGCATTAACAGAGCTAACGGAGATAGAGATGGGAGGAAATTTTTAAAAGGGTTAATACCACGAAAAACCCTAAACTGGTATACTTGTGACATATTTATCCAAAATTATATTTTTAACCATAAAAAACCCAAAATTGGTACATCTATGACAATTTTACTCCAAACATACCACATAAAATCCTGAACTGGTACACATGTGACAATTTTACCTCGAACAAATTTTTAATATTATTTTTTTGATTTTTTTTGAATTTTTTCTTTTCTTTTTTTTTCCTTCACCTTCAACCTCTGGTCGGTCGCCGGTCCGGCGACCGGCCAGAGGCGGAAGCTGGCGAGGGCCGCCCTCGCCAGATCCGACGAGGGCGACCCTCGCCGGTATCGGGCGAGCGCCGCCCTCGCCGGCGTCAGGCGACCCTCGCACATGTCGGGCGAGGCCGTCCTCGCCCGCCAGGGCAAGGGCGACCCTCGCCCGACTCGAGCGAGGGCGGCCCTCGCTCGACGCAGGTGAGGTCGCCCTCGCCGGATCCGACGTCGGGCGAGGGTCGCCCTTGCCCCGGGCGGCGAGGACGGCCCCTGCCCGACGCCGCCGAGGCGGCCCTCGCTCGACGCCGGCGAGGGCCCTCGCCCGACGCTCGGCGAGGGCCCCTCGCCCGACGCCGGCGAGGGTGGCCCTCGCCGGCTTTCGCTTCTGGCCGGTCGCCGGGGTTTGAAGATGAAAAAAAAAGAAAAGAAAAGAATAAAAAATAAAAAATAATATTAAAATTTTAATTCAGGGTAAAATTGTCACATATGTACCAGTTTGGGATTTTTTTTGGTAAGTTCAGGGTAAAATTGTCACAGGTGTACCAGTTTGGGGTTTTTGGTGGTAAAAAAAATAGTTCGGGGTAAAATTGTCACAGGTGTACCAGTTTGGGGTTTTTTATGGTCAAAAAAATAGTTTGGGGTAAATGTGTCACAAGTGTACCAGTTTAGGGTTTTTCGTTGTATTAACCATTTTTAAAATCACCTGATAGGTGGGATCCACTTTGACACATGTTGCATACCTAATGGATTGTCTCACCGATGACGTGGCGAGACAGTCTTACACAATATTTTCTCGCACGTTGATGGATCAATTTGGACTTTCTGCTCACTTCGATTCAATGACACAAATAACTATGTTTCTTTCCCATAGAACAACATTATCTTTCACCAAAATTTGTCGCCGAGTTTCTAAGTACTCGAAATGATCCCAATCGTTATGTTCTTATTCATTGTAGATCTACTCAATGCAGTAACAATTATGCAGACGAAGTAATAACTATAATAACGAGAATAACGATAATTTTTCCCATTTCACGCCAAGCATAAAATATACGACTGCCTCTGCTAAACTTGCGTCTCTGTGAGCCTTCTCTCCTTGGAGTCCGTAGGCATAGGCAAGCCTCCTGATTCCACGTCACCGTCTCTCTCTCGCGAAGCGCAGTCGCATACCCACAGCCAAAAAACAAAGCGCGCACGTTAGTCCTTGCCTCGGCACCCTCACTAAAATACGCCTCCCCTGCATAAGAACAGAGACAAGCCAGCCACCACACCCGCGTTTCGTCTACCACTGGATACTTTGTCCTTCTGGAGGAGAAGGAGAAGCGCCCCACGCTTGCTGCTTCCTTCTACGCAACTCGTTCTTTTCGGTTCTTCACACACGAACATGAGATTCTTCCTTTGCTGACGCAAGTAGCCTCAGCCCAGAACTGAACAGAGCCTGCAACTGATGATGGCTTCGCTGTAGATTGCGAGACCCGCTTTCGCTTCGGCTTCCGTCCCCCAATCGAAATTCAGCGGGAGCTCGAAGTGGTGTAAGGAATCGGGTGTTGGCCGGCCGTGAGGCACGACCGACCGCCCTAGGAACACCATAGCAAGAAATTGAAACAACGGTAAAAAGATAGGCGGGATTTGTGCACCTGTTTTGGAATGCATTGCCTCTTGAACGCGGAATGACAACGAACCGGTGCCGGAGCGCTTCTTCCCTATAACCCCTGGAGTCCCTGGCACTATGAGACTACCTTATCACGAGTGCCGTATGTGAGTTTTGAGAGTGTTTGAGAGAGAGTCGGGTTAGGGGACGGATCTCCAGCTCTGTTTATAAAGTTTAGGCCTTCTCATAACGGGACGAGCTCAACTCGGCCCACACAAGCCAGGCCCATATCAAATCGATTAAGAATTTTTATATCCAATCTTATTAGACTAAATCCGTAAATAATTAATTACAATCTCAATTAATGTAGCCCATATACAAGAAAACTCTTACATCGGGAACATGAGGGTTTTGAGATTGATGGATTGTGGGTATTTGAGGGATGGTTTGAAAAGGCGGTCTTTTGTTTCGTGTAAAGTCTAGGACGGCGACGGGAAAAGCAATGGAATTGGCGAGTTCCCTTCTTTTGCTCTCTTCGTCTGTTGCTTCTCGCATTGAAAGAGGCTTCCTTTTGTTTCTGGTGGTTTCCTCGGGCGGGTTGATTCTTGGGCTGCCTTGCTTTTTTTTCTTGTTTTGTTGATGTTTTGCGTTTATGGGTATGCTCTGCAATTTCATCTTTCAAGCTACGCTTACGAGACATGCTTCTCAAGCGGGTCGAAGATTACCCAGTTGGATGAATTGAGACAATACGGCACAAATTTTTGTTTCTTTTTTCCTCTCGATCGATTTGAACGTCATTGTGAGAAGTTCTGTTTGCTTTCTTAGTTGTGTGTGCGCTTTAGTAGGAGCCACTACTCATACAGCGTCCCACAATGCTTAATGGTTGTGAACCGAATCAATCTTGTAGTCTTCGGGGGATGCGTGAACCTGGATGCTAAGCGGTGCTGGTGGATTGAATGGTGCTGGTGATAATTCGTTCTTGAGCGGATTCATTTGTTGGAATTAGTTTATTTGAATGGTCCAGTACGCTTTTGGCGGCTCATTTGTGGATCTTAAAAAATTGCTTGCTGAATCAGCGAAAGGTGTCTTGGTTACTCCAGATTAAGCAGGATTTCTTGTCACCACTTATAGCAAGTTGATGGAAATTAAGGAACTTTCTTGGGATTTATTGAGTTTCCCACTTGTATCGATAGCTTTTCTTGCAGAGAGAAAGGGAGAAAGGGAAATTTCATTTACCTGTCCAAAAAGAAGAGAGAAAGGCAGGGGAGGGGAGATCGAGGTTTCGTTCTTTAATCTTGTCGTTGAAGGCAGATTGTGAAGAATTTGTGATTCTTCACATTACTTTTTCTTAGGTTTATATTTATTATGATCTCCTTCCTTTGCATTTGTCCATGTGTTGTGTACATGAGAGTTGAGCCGTTCCTGTTTTTAATCATGACATTATCAAATTACTGCAGGTGAAGAACCACCTGAATCTTTGATGAAAGAATTAAAGAGGGGCATGACTCCCACTTCATTGCTTGAGGACACAAAAAAGAGCAGCTACGACAGTGGATTAGAAGGAGAGAGGGGTTTTTCGAAAAGAAAAGCAGTCTCTACTGAACCAGGAAATAATTTAACCAACCAAAGGGAGCAGTCCATGGCATTGAACAGTGAGGGCCTCGTGGTTGGCAAATTCAAGCTCTTTTCTCATTTTGTTATCAAGTTACAACTTTTATAGCTCAAACCTTAAATAATGAGTTTTGACAGTTTTTCTCCCCTTTGTTCTGGCTCATGCGACGTGCATTCAAGAAACTGAAATTACATATATATTCTTGGCAGGGACTGATTCCACGGGCTAAACTTTTGTTAACACTTGGAGGGACTTTCTTCTTGGGGTTTTGACCACTGATTCTTACAAATGTGGCATCCTTTTCTGCTCTGTACCTCGTAAGCTACCTTTCTTGGCCTTCCTGCTGTACATGTGACTTCCGTTAGATTGCCACTGGCCAGACACTTATTATACTATGAGACCCAGTTCTGTGGAATATCGTTTTCTACCTGACTTGTCGCTGCCTAACGTTATAGCAATTTGCCTGACACTTACTATGCTAATGGGAACCAATCCTGTGGAACTTTATTTTTCTCGCCGACTTGTCAGTGCCTAACCTTGTAGCGATTTAAGCACATTTGATGTTCTGAAATGAAGTCCGTGAATAATAATCTAAATCTCTTCTGTTGAAATTGATATAATGCCTAGGACGATGTCTTAGTCTAAAAATGCTGTGGCGCTTACGTTTGTTCGAGTTGCCAGGAAAATATGCATGAAATGGATGGTTGCTTGCTCTATCATTTGCGGTCTTTTCTTGTCCTTTTGATCATTATATTGATGTACGTATAAGTGGATACTACAAAGGTATGGACTCAATAATGTCTTAGCATCATTTAAACTTCACAGCATTTGCTCAGGCTTATTCCGATTCGATTTTCTGTCTAGTGCCGTCTCTTCGGAACTCTTGACTGCGTTTTGATTTGGAAGCACTTCACGGATTCCATGATCTAAATGGCAATACCCCTCTGTTTATTTGACAGTATTTTGGACTGACTTTTGTCCACGATGGAAGCAATGTGCAAGTGTCGCCACCCCAGTACATCAATCCATATGCGCTTCTCGAAGACGAAAGAATATCCGAAACGGCTCCTCGAGTTAATTGAAGCAGGAAACGTCATCACTCGAGCCAATTCATTGAAGATCTCTGTTGCAACTTGCTAGTTACGGCCACAAGTTTCAATCAATTTTCTGACTAGCGAGTTATATATCTGGACCTGACCCATATTTATATTGGGTTAATTTGCATAAACACAATGTCCATAACTTATCAATTACTACCAATATTGATTCCATGAAGGTTTCGCCAATTCTTTTATTATTTGGCTTGAATCTTGCCAGATTTCATTCAATTTTGTTTGTCTGCTACCGAATGTGCACTTTCTGGTTCCAACAGAATATAAAGATGGCATTCAATTCAACCAAGTTTGAGCTAGGATAGTGATTACCCTCGCATCTGTCGGTGCTTTCTAGGAGTCACAATCTTTTTCCTTTTCTTTTCTCCAAAATATCTACAATTAGTTATACCCTATCAACAGACAAACATATACTTAAGTTAATCTTTTTACTTTACCTTTCACTTATTTCAATTTTAAATTTTGAATCTTTCCTATCTTACAAAAGAATCTTACTGAAAAAGTCCAAATCTTGAAATGTTTTTCTATTTCCATATATGTGTATTAGTTTTACATCGTGTAAATAATTTATACATATAAGTTAATAATTCAAATTTTTTGTAGTAAGATGATTTTGCAAAATTTCTTACATGTCAAATTTGTTACATACAGATAACGTGTGTGCACTTTTACCAATATTACAACAATGAATAGTCACTAACTATGTTTGGCATTTATATGTTTCTAATATGGCTGAAAATTTTCGACACTACTTGTTGCTAAATGTGTTTGTGTCAATAAGTTTAAATGAGTTAATCAAAACATATAGAAAGTTGGTTTCCCACTAGAGAGCAATGTATCGAACCTAGAATGGTGGGACATAACTCATAAAACTAATGGTGAAGCTTATGGCTTCTACGAATCGAATTTCTGCTAAGAATTTCCCTAACCATTCAGCCTCACTACGATCTAACTCAAAAGCGATGACCACTAATTCAATTGTAGATACCACAACATAGATATTACAATACCTTTTTCATGTTGTTATGTAAACTGAACCCATAGATAAAGTGAGCACGAGAAAACTTTTCAAGTAATGTGATACAATAAAAAAACAAGGAAAGCAATTTTTGAAAATACTTCTCTACGACACTTTTGACCTTTCAAAGTTGCCAAACTTCGTGATAGGAGAAAAGACACTTTTGCAATAGACATAACCCATGTGGAAATCTTACTTATTACGGCATATTGCGAATTTGTTCTTCAAATAAAAAGGTACTAATAAAGGTTTAAAGATACTAACTTTGGATAATCTTGAGGTTTTTTCTCTTTGGGATCTCATGTCCTAGGATTCAGAATTACACGCGAGGCAAGAAGTTAGCCTTCACGCTTCCAAGCCAACCAAATGAACTCTAAAAGTACACATGGACGACCTTAGTGCAGTCCTTCAACTCTATAATTCAACCCTTCAATTATATTCGTTGATCATTTTTATTTTTCCTGATGCTCATAACAATATACGTAGCTTCATTGATCAACTGTCGAGATCGCTGCATGTGGAATACAAGCTTCACGGCGTTGATTTCCAGTGTCAGGTATGTCAATGCTGCACCACGATTAGCTCTTGTCATATTCTAGTTTCTACCTCACCACAAGTATTACCGATTGCCACAACTCTATTCTTCACCTACGAACACAGAATCAGATTGAAAATAAGAAACTTTACAAGATCTTAGCTTAAGGACAACGAGATTGCAAGAAAGATTGCAAATCACTTCCAAAGTTAACCCTTGCTACTTCCAAAATGAATCGTTAGTTTTGTTTCAAAGTACTCGGCATTTCAAGAGGATTCTGACTTCATACATCACCAAACAAATTCATAAGTTAAATAGAAACAATCCTTTTGCATTTCTACATAGCTTGAAGAATGAATGTGAATATCTAACACTGCCAAAAATATTTCAAACCACTTCACCATTTAGAAGAATGTAGCCATCAAAACTCTGATGATCATGGTCTGTCACTCACGTTATTTATCTCTACAGTGTCTTAGCAACCATGCTAGACAAACGGGTTTCTATAGAATTGATCAGATTCTGATTAATTGTTTCGTATGGGATTTTAACGTATTTTGAACTGTTCGACTGATTATTGAAATACCGACATGATTTCTACTCTATATTCAAGTGTCAAAATTGAAGTTGGGAATGGAGTTTATACGTCGATTGTTTCATTTTTGCAACTCTTCATATTTTAGGTCCCTCTATATGTGGCAACTGTTGTAAAATTTGAATGGCTTCGAATCAAAGAGCAATCAAGTCGGACTTTGAGGCGTGATATCACTTTCCTTAAGGATTTATTTGCCCCACAATGTTGCTAATGGTCACCGGCAAAAATCCTCCAGGATACAACGAAGTCTCAAAATGAGAATACTAGATAGCAATTCTAGTATTTCTCCAGGGTCTCTCTAGGAAACAATTGAAAATGATGGCTGCAGTTTTTCGAAAGAAGACTTGAAAAAATTGATTGATATTTCCTTCTTGCCAAAAACTGACATATATAGAAGTAGGTCTTCATAGGCAACTCTTCACGAAAAGTTGCAAAGCTAATAAAGATATTCCTTCGGAAGAAGTTGCAAACTGAACAAATGCAACCCTTCGGAAAAGGTTGAAAACTGAACAAGTATAATCTCCAAAAGTTGTCTTGAAAAGACACATGTAAAATTCGGAATAAAATAAAATAAAAAATATATATAAATAAAATTCCGAATTTTCATAATTTCGAAAAATTATTTAGTAAACAAAAAACAACCTTTCAACTAATAAAGATTAAGGAGATAACCTTACGAAATAAAATAAAAAATAAAGGGATTAGAGCTAATTAAACCGCGGCCGCGCAAGGGAGCCAAGTGCTAAGTGCGCCTAATAATCGCGCCAAAATCGCGCACCCGCACGCGGGTATTGTGTGGACTAGCACACATCCCATTGTCTTCACTCTAAGGAGTAAGAAGACACTCACAGTTATAAAATGGCCCACTTACCCAAAACTTTCCTATGTGGGATAAAGGAAAAGGCATTGTTTTGTTTGTTTTACAAACAAACATCCAACAATACAAGAATGGCATCCAAAGTGGCGTCAATAGAGAGCAAATCCACGTTTGTCCCATCAGCGGACCAGTACGTGCGAGCCGCGTTCGACCACATTGGTTACGAGCCACGGTGTACGCCCCACCGGGCTCACTCGCTCCAAAGGTGTTTTGCCTGCTTTGTCCCCGATCGTGTTCTTGACGCATGGCGCCTTTCGATTGGTCTTAAAAGGAGAGAGAAAAGGCAATCATGAATGTTAGAAGAACTGAAATATTCGCTATAAGATGGTGAAGCTACTAAGTTGGGTTCTGTTATAATCAATGTGAAATATCAAATGATAACTCTTGTGGATTATGTTAAGGAATGCTTTAAAAGTACTTGGTAAATATTCGCATAAAATATTTCAAAACGTTATTTTTCTTGTGTTATGCATATTCCGTGCCTTGAAAGTAAAATTCTTTTCTTATTAGATTTGATTGACAAGTGTCCTAGCAGCTACAACAAGAACCCTTTCAGGAAAATTGTCCAACCAGTTATAAATTTATTGTACGGATACTAATTCAATCATAAATTTTTCATTTTTGCCAATTGAGTCTTAAACCTTTACTTGAAATTCCAATGTAATCTTTCTGGTTAATTTTCGTTAGAAATCACTAACGCAACAGTATGCTACATAGGATGGTAAGCAATAATTTGACTGTCATGCCAGTAATTTTCGACGAAATTAACTTAAAGGACTATATTGGAACTTCGTGCAAAATATTTAGAACTAAATTGATAAAATTGGAAAGTTTGTGACTGACTTGACATCCAAGCTATAGATTTACGATTGCTTGGGTAATTTTCCCACCCCTTTCCAAGACTTCGTTTGTATCATGGAAAACATTTTCCGGCATTTAGATCGCTTAGAAAATTGAGTTAATGGAAAATCTATACTTAAATTCAGGAAAAAGAATTCTAAAATATGACTAAATATTAACACTTGGACTAGAAACTTTATGTTTGGGCATAGGAAACCCAAAGCTCATTCTCGGGCTCTTGGCAGCGAACCCACATATAAAGGCCGGGGTCAGGACCATTAGGGTCAATCAAGGCCAAGCTCGGGTCCAAAAGGTTGGGCTTGGAACCCCGTGGTGCTTAGGCCCAGTCCACAAGGGTGGGGCTCGAGACATTAATGCCTAGGCTAAGGTCTACAGAGGCGGATCCTAGGACCTCGGTACCCCTACTTGGAGCCTTGGTCCGTGTCCACGAGGCCGGGCCTAAGACCTTGGTGCTCTTGCCCGAATCCTTAGCGCCTAAGCCTGGGTCCATTAAAGTTGGGCTTAAGTCCACAGAGGTTGAGGTTGATTACAAGGTAAATCAACAGAAACTATTTCGAGTTCCTTCAACATATGCACATGTTTGCAGTCTCTGGGCATCGATATGCTAAACCAATTTAGCTAATTCCACGAGGATTGTACGCATTAGCATCATATTTATGAGAACGGCCAGCGATTCTCTTGAAATTGAACTCCTTCAGATTTTTCTGACAAAATTTTAAAGTTTTACAATAATATAAAAAGGAAGAACCATACAAAAATTTTAAAATTTAGTAACTCCATGCGATAGATAAAAAGCTGCTCCAACCACGTGACCCTGGAAAACTACATACATTGGAGATTGGACTTGTAAAAGCCAAATGAACCGGTTCGTGAACGCAAATCTAAGCATGTTCACGTGCACTGTGTCATAACAATCCCCACTATTTTCTGGTTTCTTAGGAAAAAAAAGAAGACGACCAATGCCATCTTTTTTATTGTCTCAGGTTGAGTTTATTTTTCATAGAAAGGAGAATTAAATAAAGATTATTATACCTTCTTGTGAATGACTTAAACTACAAAAACAAGGATTTTGTTTACAAGTATCCATGTACACTAATTAAGCTAATTAGGGACAGGAAAATACTTTTCGAGACACTTTGTAAAGTGAAGAAGTACACAATTTTTAGGAAGGCTAATTACTTTAAGAGTAATTGCCTTATATACTAATGATTTGAGAAAGCGCATAAATATAATCAACAATGCAAGGATGGATAAGGCCGCTTGCGTGAAAATCTTTAATTAGAAAAAAAAATTCAAAACGTATTTAAGGAAGCTTAACAAGTGATTTTAGGGAAACTTTTTTAAGTTCTACTAAAAGGAGCATAGGTTCTAGTGTTTGACTGAGTAATTTTATAGATTTACATGTAGACAAACTTGGGGATTCTATTTTCAACAAAAGTAGTAACTAAAAAGATACTTGCCGAGATCTTCTCTGGCTACCCAAACAAATTGAATGGCGAAACAGTCAACTGGTAAACTTATTTAATGTAGATTTTCCTTGCTTGTAGGATTCACGAGATGGCGAAATCTTGGCAAATCAATATCAAAAGGGCAGATAATTTATTCGTTCAAATACATATGAAACGGAGTAAAATCAGTCTTCTCGGGAAGCAAACAAAGTTCATACCGACTTGGATAGCCTTTATCTATGAAAAAACCCAAGCCGTTTTGCTATCTCAAGTTCTTATCCAACACGCGCAAAGCAATGGAACTTGAGGACTTGATGATCATGGCGGCCGCGCTGCTAGGGTTCATCTTGCTCTTCAAAAACCTGCTCGTCTTTGTACGATGGCTTCATGCCACATTCCTTAGGAAGCCGAAGAACTTGCGCGAGTACGGCTCGTGGGCTGTCATCACCGGCCCCACCGATGGCATCGGGAAAGCCCTAGCCTTTGAGCTTGCATCCAAGGGCCTCAACCTCGTGCTCGTGGGTCGAAACCCTAATAAGCTCGAAGCCACCTCAAGCGAGTTGATGCAGAGATACGAAAAAGAGATCCAGGTCAGAAACTATCTTACGTGCTTGTTAATTAAGAATGTGATATAACGAACATAATACCTGTTTACTTTAACAAAGTGATTGCATGTCATGCCTAATAAGGGAATTTACAATTGATAAGATACTTTCTCCAGGTCAAGACCGTAGTCGCCGACTTAGCAAAGCTGAGTGGATTGGAAATAGAGGTGGCGGTTGCTGAGGCGACCGAAGGGCTCGATGTTGGGGTGGTGGTGAATAATGCCGGAGCGGCTTACGGTCATCCATATGCGAAGTACTTTCACGAAGTGGATGATGAATCGATGGAGTGCATATTGAGAGTGAATGTGAACGCAGCGGTGTGGGTAACGAAGGGAGTGATCGATGGAATGTTGAAGAAGAAGAGAGGAGCGATTGTGAATATTGGCTCTGGTTCCACCGTTTACGTCTCTTCGTTTCCTCTTCAAACCTTGTATGCCTCAACCAAAGCGTAAGTTTCGTATCCTCCAAACTCCTATCTATCTTCTTTCACCACGAAACATATACTAACATCCATTGCATTTGTTAGTCTTCGAATATTGGGGAAAGTATATAATTTTTTTTAGGAATATGTTAATAAGTGATCCTGACACATTACGACACTAATTAAGTAACTACTTAAGGAATCATTACCGATATTATAGTGTTCTTCTTATTTTTCATGAACTGAGGTTTCATGCATACATATGTTAACTGCACATAGTGTTTTATTTATTTATCACAGTTTTATGGCAATGTTCTCAAAAAGCGTCGCTCTTGAGTACAAGGACCAAGGGATCGATATTCAGTGCCAGGTACATGTGTCATAATTTGTTATACAATGCGTAGATAGATGTCAAACTTTTTCAGTGCATATATGTGGGTGAATGATCAACCTTTAACCTCTTTTCAATTTGTGTATATTGTGTGATGATTGGGCAGTTGTTTTGCGTTTGAACTTTAGATGACATCATAGTAGAAAAGTCAGCCTAAACGTAAGGGAAAGCTATTGATCGATTTGTTTACATTTAGTAATCACTCATTCGTAAACTAGCTTAAAACTTAATTATTCAGATTGTATAAGTCGATATCAATACAAAAGGAAACCTTATGCATGATTAAGGAAAGCTTAAGTATGTGTTAATAAGAGAAAACATATTTTGCATCTTGTGATATTGTTTCGCCGGGAATGGCTCTAGATGACGAAATACCTTTCACCGAATGTTATCTTTGATTTTTGTTGAATTGAGAAAGTAAATGTAGGAACTGGAAAGATAAAATGATAAACCGAAAGAAACCTAGTTTTTGTTGATGATTGTGAATCCCTCTCTTGTTTACAAAAAAATTAACCAAGTCATCATAATCGATATGATATCAATTTAGGTAAGCATATGACCTGAGACCACGTGAGGTGGCATCGGCGAGATACTGACTGCACGAGTCCTTAACGATGGCCATATTGGTCACATGATTTCTTGCCGATGGTCATACTTATCTATGACCATGATCAGTTATCGATATACGATACCAAATGCTGGAAAAGGCAAAGATATTGATTCAAAGGCATCGATTGACAACTGGATAATAAATTATCTGAGAACTGACCATTTTGTGAGCAAAGTGGGTGCGAAGTTTAGGCATAATGGCATTCAAATTTGAAACCGCTTGTGGATAAGATAATGGAGCACAACAGATCGTGATTAGAAGGTGAATTTGAAGGAATAACGACTTCGATGAGAGTCAGGGTGGCTACGAATAAACGTGGAGAATCAAGGTGCGACTTTGAACGAGCAATTGCTTGGAGACAAGATGTGGTGGCAACTTGAAGATGTGGAGCTGAAAACTTTGGAGATGTGGGGGCATGGTTGAAACTGCATAAGAATTACCGAAGCCATCTCCCCTTACATGTTAACATTTGGCAACGAGGCTGTCCTTCCATTAGAAATAACGGTCCAGTCATCGAGAGTTAGAATATAGAGTGATATTTTAAACAAAGATTATGATCAGATGATGTATATGAATCTTGACAAGTTGGATGAAGATAGGGCGTCGGTGTTAGATAGTGTCATCGCTCAAAAGAAAAAAGTTACCAAAGCATACAACAAACATGTTAATTAAAACAATTTGATGTTGGTGACTTAGTTTGGAAGATTATATTGCCGATAAATTCAGATAATGAAAGATTTGGCAAATATTCTTTTACATGGAAAGGACCCTATTTAGTGAGTGATGTGTTAAGTAGCACGCTTATTGATTAATGGACATTGATAGGAAAGAATTGTCACGATCAATAAATGGAAAGTACCTCAAGACATATCATCCAATTATGTGAGAGATGCATGATGAATGAGAAGAAATTTCAAACAAAATATCACAAGAACTCAACGTCCAAATGGGTGCATCAATTCAAAAAGAAATACTTCATTAAAGTTTTAGCGGATTACACAAGATCAACATGCCATTTCAGAGCACTAACAAAGGTTGATAAACATGCTTCCATCAGTTCATTTTCTTGGGTACATTGCTATATATTTGATAGAGGCACATGTTTGAACTAAAGAAGAAAGATGATCACATTCTTCATTAGGTTCATTAGATTGGGATTGCTGCTCTTCCGGAAGTTGACTAGCGTACACCAGGAGGGTATGATGAACTTGAATCTTATGATCAAGGTTGTTTGACCTCTTTGAGATATTTTCCCTTTTCAACGTTAGTCTGGCAATTCCCCTTTTTGTCTCAAGCCAAGTATCGGGATTGTTTAGCCTGGTCACATGCATCTCCCTTTCAATCATGAGCTTGAAATGTTCCTTCTTAGCATGCTCAAAAATTTTATGACCGGCCTGTGAGAACCTTCCTTGCATGATAGGCTTGTTCCTTTTTGTTCCGGTACTCATTCTCGAAGGATTGGAAGCTTTTTTGCTATTGGACTTGAAGGCTTCTAAGCCATTAACAAAAAGAGTTGCAAACTCTTCGTATTTCTCCTAGAATTCAGGTTTTTCAGTATTACCAACGCACTCTAAGTCCACCAATAATACCCTCATCTCCTTTTTAACATCAACATTTGAAATGATGTAAGAATATTTAAAGGAAAAGAGATCGAAGAAACTTTTCCATCTAGATATGGTCTTATCAAAAGGAGCATCATTAGGGACAGGTGGAGAAGAAGATGAAGTCATATTGAATATGATTTTGGACTTAGAAGAAAGTAAGTTGAAGATGAGTTGAACGTTACATTAAAGATGTGGAAGATATGATCTTTGAAGTCCAAAATCATATCCAATATGTTTTCATCTTCTTCCCCATATTACCCTAATGATACTCCTTTTGTTGTCGAGATCATATCTTGATGGAAAGGTTATTCCATCTTCTCTCCTTCAAATATCCTTACATCATTTCAAATCTCGGTAGAAGAGAAAATAAGAGTATTATTGGTGGACTTGGAGCCCGTTATTAATACCAAGAATACCAAGTTCCAAGAGGAATATGAAGAGTTTGCAACTCTTTTTGTTTATGGCTTAGAAGCCTTCAAGTCCAATAGCAAAGAGATAAACACACTATAATCCTTTGAGGATGAGTACTGGGACAAGAAGGAACAAGCCTATCATGCAAGGAAGGTTCTCAAGGGTCGGAGTAAAATTTTCAAACAGGCCGAGAAAGAACATTCCAAGTCATGCAAGAAAGGAAGAGGCTTGTGACCCAGCTGAAAAATCTCAATACTTGGCTCAAGATAGAAAGGGAATTGCCAGACCAACGCTAGAGAGGGAAAGGATCTCCAAGAAGTTAAACAACCACAATCATGAGATTCAAGTTCATCAAATTCTTATGGTGCACGCTAGTCAACTTTTGAAAGAGTAGCAACCCCCTGTCTAATAAACTCAATGAAGAGTGTTACCATCTGTCTCATTTAGTTCAAACATATGCCTCCATCAAATATCAATGTAACCAAGAAAATGAATGGATGGGAGCATGTCTGTCCTCCTTTGTTAGTGCTCTAAAATGACATGTTGATTTTGTGTAACTAGTTAAAACTTTAAGTATTTCATTTTGAATCAATGCACCCAATTCGACGGCGAGTTTTTGTGATATTTCATTTTTTGGTTCTTCGTTTCGCTCTTCTTGCATCTCTTGTATCTCCCACATAGTTGGATAATATGTCTTGAGATATTTTTTGTTTGTTGGTCGTGCCAATTCTTTCCCATCGATGTCTATCAATCGGTAAGCATTACCACTTATCATGTCAGTCACTAATCTTTTATTTATTGATCATGGCAATGCTCTCACGCCCCCATCTTCATCTAACTCGTCGAGATTCATATCCATCAACTTATAATAATCTTCGTTTAGAATATCACTTAGTATTCTTTCTCAATGACTGGATTGTGATTTCTAATGGAAGGATAGCCTTTTGGCCATATGTTAACATGTAAAGACTTATTCTTGTACTCGATCTTTTTTATGTTTGGTAAGCCCATAACACGGTCGACAAAGAGAATTTCATTCCCTGGGATTTTCTTCAATAATGGGATTCTCTTCAAGTTGCCTTCAAATGAAATTAACTATGGTTTTGTTCGAAGCCTTGACTTGTCCATTAGCATGAGCATAATAAGGCGTCGAATGGCCTAATTCCATAAAAAAAACCCCGAACTTTAAGTTTAGTCCCAAATTTGCTCCAAACTTTTTTTTTGTCTTAAGAAAAACCTTCAACTTTTACTCAAGTCCCAAATATGTCTTGCCGTCAACATGCTGTCCAAGTAGCCATTATTATCTGACATGGCATCTACGTGTACATGCTGACACGTAATTTAAGTGCCATGTCACACATCATAAAAGGAAAAAAAAAAAAGAAAAACTGAAGGAGAAAAAAAAAGACAACCCTTCATCCGTTACTATTCTGCCTCATCCCTCCTTGGCATCTCACTCCTCTGTCAGCCGTTGCCCTCACAATGCTGCGGCCTCAGTTGAGAAAAACTGAAAGAGATGCGGCCATGGCCGCTCAAGCTGTAAGCTTGCAATGGCCATTGCTGCTTGAGCTTCGGGCTCATGTGGCGGCCATGGCCGTTGGAGTTTTGAGCCACGACGCTAGCAGTGGCCATGGTTTCCGGCGTGACGGTCACAATAGCCATGACTATTGCGAGCTTCAAATCAATTTTTGGGTTGTCTCCAATAACCTCTAGGCCCCTCTTCTAGCCGTCGCCCCTCCATCTCTCCCGTGCTCGTCTCCATCTTTGTTGCTTGTTGAACAAAAGGGGTAAAGCACAGTGACGTTGAAAACGAACAGTGACCAAACTAAGTCACTAAGGTTAGGGTAGGCGTCATCATTGTTGATCGGCACTGGCGAAAGACGATTGAACAAGCGTGAAGCGGTTTAGGCTCTTTTGACAGTAAAGTAGAATGAAACAGAGCAACCTTCGGCACGACGACATAGGTGTCAAATGATGATAGTGATAGCTGCTTGACAGTTGACACTCTCTTCTCTTTATATTCATCATCTTCAACATCTTCAACATCTCTATCTCCATCGCTCCACCGCCAGACTTCGTGATGACCACCATCATAGGACTCTGCGATGACGCAGGAGCTTGAACAGCGCATGTGACCATCGGTAGCATTGCAAGTAGAGAAATTGTGAAAAGTCAAGGTTGATTCTTTCGCAGCAAAAATCAAAACTAGCCGAATGAATCTACGTCCGAAAGCCCAAAAAAACGATATCTTGAGCTTTGAAAATGGGGGATGCCGAGAGCGGGGGACTCTTGAGCTCGGTCTTCTCTGGGATGTGAGATGAGCATATGAAGCCGTGAGGAAGGCCCAATGTGAATAGTGATTGGAAAAATGTTACTTGAAGTTTTTAGATGATGGAGCTGAATATAGGAGAGTCTCGGTTGAAGCACGCCGAGATGATTGCGGCAATAGATGATGGCCAAGAAGCAGTCTCCG